AGAGAAAGCTTTTTGAGTAATTATCTCAAACCATACAAAAAGCTATAAACATATGAGCTAGTACATTTTGGGAGCAATATTGAGCACCGATATGAGGGAGAATTTCGATAACTCACAACCCCCAAAAACCATGTAGCCATCATGGGTAGAAAGGGTCATACTTTTTAGATAACTCCTTAGTGCTATTTAGCATAGACTAGTGGATACACTAAGTTAAGGCGTTCTATATAATGACAAAGAATAGGACATTTTTGGGAGCGTGGGCAAGACATTGTATCATCACTACGGTTCATAGTGGTGGTTGTCGGTTATAGAAACTCCCATAGAGTTATATTGTATTTTTATATACAAATTGAGTTTATTATATTTTTTTAATACATCGAGTTGCTATCAATATTTTTACAACTTTCGAAATATATGGTATCTTTTACTATTGTTTTATCCTTCAGTATTATGAGTTGAGTCTTTTGAGTTGAGTATTCAAAGTTAAGTACCTAGAGTTGAGTATCTTATCCTTGAATACTTCTGAGTTGAGTAAGTTGAGTAGTTTTAAGTATCCTTGAGTATTCTTGAGTTGAGTAAGTTTGAAGATAGGTAAGTATGTTTATTTTCTTTTATCAAGTTCAAGTTTATGTTTATATTTTAGAATTCCCCTTACATGCTCGTACATTTCACGTACTGAGCAATTTGCCCTGCATCCTTTCATGATGTAGATACATGTATTTAGGGTCATGATCAAAATGAGCTTCGTTGACACCACATGCAGTTTGAGTTAGTTATGGTAAACTTCCTTTCTTCCAGAGGATTTCATTTAACATTCAGTTAAATAAATTTTTAGGAAGTCGTGGGTCTTATCTCAACTGTCATCTTTGTCATTTAGAGGCTTTATAGATAGACAATAGAGTTTCACAAGTCTTCATTTATTTTCTTAAATATTTTAAAGACTTAAGTTGCCTATTTTAGGGTGAGTTAAATATATTTTTCTATTCAGAATTACTCATTTGAGTTAAAGATTTGTAAGTTTCATGAATTTTATTCAGTTTTTAAATTTTTTCATGCTTGAGTTAATCTTGTACTTGTAGTCAACCAGGATGAGGGTTCGCCCGTGGACCAATAATGGTCTTCGACTGTCAGTCACTTCCAGGATGTAGACCGAATTGTGACAAACTTGGTATCAGAGCATAGATTTCAAGAGTCTCAAGGTGTCTATGAAGTCATGACAATAGGATCTTGATTATGGTTATGAGGGCTCCACTTCCATAAATGAGGGACTGCATATTTAAGAAAAGTTTCTCTTCTTTCATACTTTTAATTGTGCAATAGAGGTATGTCATATTGATTTTATACTTAGTCATGTGTTTCTCATATTCACTCATTCGACTACCCATCATACTAGAGGTGATTGAAAAGAATAGTTAGTCCTTTATCAACGAGTTATTCTTAGCGAAGAGTAAGTCAAGTGTTCAGTTTAAGAGGAATCCACCCATAATCATATGAATCATACATTTGAGCTAAAAGTGAACTATACTATTTTCCTTAAGTCTTGTTTCTGTTGAGATACTTATGAGGAGGTATTTTTAGAGATTGGGTAGTATTTTCACCTGAAAAGGTAGTATGAGTTACGAGATCATAAGCAGTAATAGTGGCAGAGACCAGAGTTAGAGGAAAGTATGTAAAATTTAGTAATCCCTGAAAGGGAGATAGTGTTTTGAAGAGCTATATTATTATAGTCATGCCCCTAGTAAGTTATGAATGATGAGTTTTCCCTTATGAGTTGACTAAGAAGTTGTAAGTTGGAAAGATTACACCATAGGAGGTAAAGTGTGTTTTGTCTAGAAAGAAGTTTTCGATGAAGTATCATTGTGTAAGTAATGACCAAGTGTAAGTGTGTATAGAAGAGCAAAATTATTGATAAAGTGTTAGATCTAAGCTAGGATTATGATCTGTTTGAGAGAGTCATGATGCTCATAAGATTATAGAACTAATCAAACAATGAGGTATAGAATAGTTGGCGACAATTGTATTGCTATTCAAGTTTAGTAATGAACATTAAGCTTGAATTTGAGATGAGTGTCACGATCCAAAGAATGGAAACATGAGGTTGATGATGTTATGTTGAAATTTGAACTAAAAGAGCTAACATAGAGTAGGTGATCCAGGAATTTAGGTGATTAGATGCAATAGATACGAGTGGTACAAGTGAGAGACCCTAAAGTTTAGATAAGGGAAGTAAGGTTTGGCTATGTCACAAGAGTAACAAGAGAATTAAGAGGTGTGCCGATATGGTATGCTACTAGATGAGGTTCCAATTAAGTTATAATTTTCCAGGTTTGGCTAGATATCATAATTGAGTTTTCAATGTGGAATAGGTCCATAACTTTTAAGTGTTAGATTTAGATCGAAGGGGGAGATGTCAAGATGAGAAATCAAGTCAAGTGTTTGAGAGTAAGATAGTAATAATTTCCACAAAGTATGAGAGATATCCTTTAAGTCGTCCTTTTAGTAAGGGAGTGATGTTAGAAATAGAAGGTTGATGGTCTTATTGTAATGATGATGGTGTGGTAATTCCATCAGAAGTCATAAAAGAGGAGGCTAAAGTTTTACTATGAAAAATAGTTAAATGACAACCCTTAGTTGGATCCAAAGGAGTTGGTTAGTAGGATTCCAATGAGTTGTTGGAGTACTAAGCTTTAATGTGGTGTTGTTAAATATTTGGTGGATCTTTATATGAGCCCAATGTGGTGGTAAAGAATAATAGTTTGAGATGATTCCTTATAGAGAGGTATTGAATCCGAACTTAAGGATCATACCCAGTTTAGTCGTCATTCGAGGATGAATGATCCTAAGGGGGACATATTGTAACACCCCATAAAATTTTTGAGCTTAGAATCAAACCATCCTAAGTGTTAAGGTCACTAGATGTAACACCTTGAGTTCCAAGAAGAACCAAACATAAAAACATTCAAGTCATTCCTAGTTTTTCTTAGTTTTGGGTAAACTTTAAACGATCATAACTCCTAGTAATGGATGTGTCAGGTGAGCTACAACATTGAAAGTTATATCCTTTCGAATCCTCTTTCCAACGCCACCGAGTTTTCTAAATTTCAAGATCTGAGTAAAAAGTTATGACTAATTTACAAACGACACACAAACCTGGTAGCAGCTCCGCGATAGCTCCGTGTTATGTAGCCAATGCAGACCTCAGTGCCTGCTGAAAAATTATTCCAACTCCCAGCTCTTTTTATTTATTTCTTTAGGAGTATTTTAGTCCTAAAAAACCTTAGGAGGTCATTTAAATTTCCCTAAACGTGTAAAAAGATTAAGTATGCAAGCTTTTATAGTGTTTGGTTTGTTCACCCAAACGCCAATCATGTTAATGTTAGTGTTAAAATCGTTCTAGAAAGTTGAAAGTATTATATTCTTGAATTATGTTCTCGAAAATGGATTTAGTTCTTCATGAAATCATGTCAATTTTAAAGTTGTATATGAGTAGGTTTTGTATTCATGAGATGGGTATTAATGTCTAATGAAGAACTGAGAAAAAGAATCGAATTTACGCAAATTGGGGTCAGAAAATGAAAAAGTAAAAAGTCGGGCAAATCGGGCACCTTGCTCCACATTCTGGACCTATATTCCCCTTCCACAGAAATTTTCTTCGCATCGTGAAGAGTTCGTGAACCTCTCTGCCTCAAAATTTAATTTGCGATCAAATATTAAAATGCATCTTCGCGTCGCGGACTTGCTTCCCAACGTGATGTCTTGATGGTTTCTCATGTTTAACTATGAAAAAACATTCTTAAACATCACAAGATCTTTCCTATCCCAAATCACAACCTTGAATACATAAATCAGATTCAAGGTAGAGTTGAGGGTCAAGTTTTGAGAGTTCTTACAAACATTTTTAAGAAAGTCTCTTTAAGTCTTTTTAGGAGTCGTCTCCAAATTCTAGTTTCTTGTTTCAAGACTCGAGCATGTGAGTAGAATGTATTCATGAGTATACTTTATAATTACAAGATACTTCAGATCAATAACCATAACTCTTGAATTCATAATACACATTTAAGAGAGAGTTAAGAGTCGAGTTCAAGAAATCATTTGAGTTCAATTGTGAATCATTTGAGATCAATAATGATTTGAACTAAGTTCTGAGAAAGGTAGTATGAGAATGAGAAGAGTTGTTATGTAGACCCTCAAGTCAAGTTGTTCATGCCCATAACTTCCTCTTGAACTTGAGTACCTTTGAGAGGAAGAGTATCATTGAAGTTCTTGAGTTGTATTTATTGTTATTGAAAACCTTGCATTGAGTTTTTCACGTTGATAATGTGGCATGTACAATATTTTTTGAAGTATTTACAAACATTTTAACTTTATTTTAAGACTTAAACTTTAAGTTGAGTAAAAGTAAGAGTAAAGTCCATTTTCTATTATATGATATATGGGAACCAAGTATTCCCAAGAGTAAATGTTTTCACATAAGAGGAAACTAAGATTTCTAAAAGCGTTTCGAGCAGTTTGAGTACCTACTCTTTTAGGAGAAAGATTTTTGAGTAATATCTCAAACCACAAAAAATGTTATATTTTTAAACATATGAGCTAGTATATTTTGGTAGTAATTTTGAGCACCGATTTAGGGGAGAGCTTCGATAACTCACATCCCCCATACACCATGCATCCATCATGGGTAGAAAGGATCATACTTTTTAGATGATTTCTTTGTGATTTTTAGCATAAAATAGTGCACTTAGTTAAGGCGTTTTATATGACGACAAAGTATAGGACAGTTCTGGCAGCGTGGGTAAAATGTTGTATCATCAATAGGACTTGTAGTGGTGGTTGTATCATCAATATGGTGAACCTCCTTTATTTCGAATTCCATCTTTTTCATTTAAAGGTTTAATTGATAGACAATAGAGTTTAAGAAGTCTTTATTTATTTTGTTAAATATTTTAATGACTTAAGTTTCCTATTTTAGGGTGAATTGATTATATATTTTTATTCAGAGTTACTCATTTGAGTTGAAGATGGGGCACCTGGTCCACTCGTCTAATGTGAGAGCTACTAGATTGGAGGCTTCTCTGCCATGGATGATTGAGGTTGTAATTCTTACTGCACTTACCCCCCTCCGAGCTTCTATTGATGATTTGGTTGCTAGAGTTACAACTTATGAGAGAAGACAGGGGGAGTCTTCTGAGATGACGACTTTTAAAGTTTAAGTTATTCATATGAGATAGGACGTGGACTATTTAAAGTTATTAACTTCACTTCCGTATTGGAGGCTTCTGATGATGTTGATGCCCCAGAGGCTTCTGTGATTTCTCAAGGTACCACCGGAGACATACATAGGGATGGAACGATAGAGACCAATGAAGATCAGATTGAGGTGAGAGAGGATAGCATTTACGGAGACCTTCCTGATCGAGGAGACTGTTGTACAGTCCTTGATCCAAACATCGCTGACCGAGATGTCCATAGAAGCTCCTAGTGGATCCGGTACTCCTAATAATGCACCGAGCACTGACGCTCAGACAAATTGAGCGACTGAGTAAATAAGATCTATCTTTATCTCCCTTTCTGTCTTATTTTTCTTGACTTCTAGATATTATTTTTGTTTGCATTTGAGGACAAACTATTTTTATATATGGTAGGGTGAGGCCCACCTTGTTTGACTATTCTAATGAATATAAACGGTTTTTGAGATATAACCGTGTTGATGCTAGTTTCTGCAGGTTTAAGCTTGTATTTCTATTTTAAATAGTGAACTGATTTTTTGACCCTTTAGAAATAAATTCCACCTCTTGATAGTGTTTAAATGTGGTTGTTCATTTGAAAATATGAGTATCGGTCGTGATCAATACTGATGACTTGAATTGTACTCATAATCAAACAAAAATGAATATATGACTATGAGGAGGCCAAATGCAGTTGCATAGACAATATATGAAATTTTTGTATCTCGTTATGACTATCCAATTATCAAATTGAGTCTCTTTTTATGAACATTGCACACTAGCGGAAGTGTGGAGTCTTGTTTGCTATTGGTGTCAATGCCTTGTGTGATGATCTTACCGTGAACCATGCAACATAACACCTAGAATTTTTCCAGTTGGTCAAATTGACTAATTGATGCAATATCATGATATAATCTTAGGCAACTTCAAAGAGTGTGAAACAACTTTACATTATACCTCTTTTGTGGCCAACTTTGTGAGTGTGTGATCCTTGTTTGAACACCCATTGATCATTATCCTTTCTTGGAAGAAACTTGATGCAAATTGTAACTTATCTTTATCCATTACCCATAATCCTCATGAATTGTGGTTTGTGTATATATCAAACTTAGACCAAAAGCCTAAGTTGGGGTGTGGTAAGGAGAAGGTAAATGAAGAAATTCAAAGAAGTCCACTTTTACCAATGGTTTTGAGAAAGATGAAACCTCTCCGTACAAAAAAAATAAGAGAAAAAGAAGAAAAGAATCAAAAAGATTGAAATAAAGTTTGTGAAAAATGCAAAGAAAATGGGATGTCCCACATTCGATGGAAGGTGAATAATTGGGTGACCTATGAGCATAAATGAGAATGATGAAGAGAATAAACTAAAATGTTGTTCAAACCACATATCATGAGGATAGAAGTCACCAAGCCTAAATGGTCATACCTTTACAGTCAACCTTGTTACAAGCCTTGAAAAGACCTTTTTGATCTTGAGTTAGTTGAAGCAATTGTTGGTTGCAAAATTAGGGCAAATATATGGGTCAAATCATACATCGTGTTCATCTTTGTGAGTGTGAGTTTTGCATTTGATTCGAGAGATTTAAATTGATGCACCATTGTGTGTGGATATGGAATCATTCTTTGTGTGAAGACTTTTGAACACCTGTGTTGAGCTTGAACTTGCACTTGATGCAAGTATTATGAGCGTGAGATTCTTTGTTAATGGAAAGCATAACTTCAATCTTTGTGTGCACAATTGATCTTTGCATGAATAAATTGAATCTTTTTTGAACTACTACACTTCACTTTTACTTGAGGAAAAGCAAAGGTTTATGTTTGGGGTGTTGATGAGTTCACGATTTAGTCCCATTTTCTATTATTTCAATTTTTGAAGTCAGATTTCTGAGTATTGAGACTAATTTTTTCCTTAGCTTTGAAGATTAGAAAATTATCATTTTTGAGAAATTGAAAATTGGTATTGAAGATTGTTCAAATTGGAATTTTGCAAAGACGATCTTACTCAGTTGATGGAAACACAGTTTGATAACGATTTCTATCTTTTTATAATGTCTAGCTAAAACCCCAACTCTTGGGGTGTGATTATGGGTTGATTTAGTTGTTGGGTATTGCTTATTGATAGTGTAAATGCTGTTTAAAACTGATTTCAATCAGTAATTGTGGCATAATTTAAAGGGTTGTAGTTGTAAGTGCAATTCATTTTTCGTGTTTTTTGCTTGCTCGAGAGAGAAGTTTTAAAATCAAGATTATTGATTTGATGTTTTCTGGGTATTGGGTTTCCATGGGTTCATCTCGAGAGAGTGAATCCTAAATCCTTTTTTCAGACATTCAGCTCGAGAGAGTGAATGGACTAAAGTGTAGGTTGTTCTTAATTGTTGCATGTTGGTGTTCCAGAGAAACCAACTTTTTCGGGATAAATTGTTCAATAGAAAGTTTATCTACACTAAAGTCTAGCTTAATCATCGATTTACAAATATTTACTATAAGTTGTGATTACCCATTTGTCTATATTATCATATAATTCAATGATATCACAAGAACCCGTCTCATTTATTGTTTATTCTTATTATTTGTTGTTGTTGTAGTTGATAATAAAAACTACAACCCCAATATATGACACGTATGTCACCCTTTCACTTGAATTATGTTTTTATTCATAAATATCTATTCTTATGATTAACTTGAACATGTTCGGACCCACTCCTTCTAGGATTAGACCCAAATACGGACTATCAACCATTGACGCTTAGAATTGGAAGAAGTTTCCTTGAGACGTTAATCACACCCCGCCTAGAAACACCAAGGCAAATGGATCTCTGGCTCAACAAGTTTTGTAATTGATCCTTCTATTCCTTAATCTCGAAATTTGTTCCAATAACATTAATGATATCATCACATTAAAAGTATTTTTTTTTAAATGTGTTGGTACAAATTCATTTTCGGTGGTATTTGTAAGACATAATTGACATATGTTGGGACATATGCAATTTTATGTTGTTAGATTTAATACATAATTGGCATGTGTTGCCACAGATGCAATATTCTTTGTTAAGTGGCAACACATAATTGTTAGATGTTGCCACTGATGCAATATTTTATTGTAATAGCAACACATAATTGATATATGTTGCCATAGATAAAATATTTTGTTGTAAGTAACAACACATAATTGACATATGTTGCCACATATGAAATATTCTATTGTAACTAGCAACACATAATTAAATAAATCACACGTTACATATAAATAACATCACATCAGTTGATTCTAAATAAGATAGAAGATAGGGATCACCCTCAAATAAGAAAGAACATTCATTATAATTCAACAACACTTCTTATGGGGCATTTCGATTTGGGCATGTAGTTTTTTTATGGTCAATGTCCCTACATACGGAACACTTATTTTTTCTAGTTTGAAATGATTCACCAACTCCACGACGTCTCTTATATCTCCTTCTTCCAGGTTTACTTGGATCAAGATATGGAAGAGGTTTGTCTCTCTGTATGATATCCAAAGGGACAATTCAAGAATCTTCAGGTGGCACCGGGTGAATTTCCTAACAATATGTTATTATGTAGTTTTCCACCGAATAATATAGAGAGGAGTACTCATAAATCTGATTTTCAATATCTTCACCATATTTGGATCGAAGCGTTGACATGGCATGTGGACAAGGTGTTTTCTCCAAATCAAAAATTCTACAAGTACAAGTTTTTCTTTGTCGAACCAAAGTAGCAACACCACCATGACTAGTGACACTGAACTTATTGTTAGACATTTGATGATCCAACAACTTTTTGTCCACGTTGAAATACTCTGATATGTCTTTTTCAATTGAGGGAACAAATCTATTTGCAGAGTGCACCAACTCCATACGCATCTGATGAAATAACAATGCAAATCTCCAGTTTATTTCATCAAATAGAGCGACAATGGGAAATTCTCTTTCAACATCAAACATAACATTCATCGACTCCGCAATTTTTGATGTCATAATGTTATATCTACACAACAAAAACTAAAAATCAAATAAAACACATAAAATAAAAATAAACTCAAATGAGATGGTAATTGTTTCCCGGACAAAATGCCCTACTACATGTGTGGAATCCAATATGTTCAAGAGCTTCAGCCACCTTTGGTATCAAATTTCTTATTTGGTTGAAATGGTCATTGAACTCACATCTATCATACACATTTACTGCTTTTACAAAAATGGGACACTACCTTTGAATTGTGAAAGTCATTACGAATATTTTTCCAAGGTGTCTCGTACAACAACCATAATGAGATGCAGGGTAGATTCTCGTAACCATCTTTCGAATACTTGGATGTCTATCAGAGATAATGCACAACTCATCAGTATCATCTAAAAAGCTTCTCATATTTTGAAAAAAAAATATTCATATGAGGCATCACATTCCTTGTCCACGACATAGAAAGCCACTTGAAATATATGATTCTCAGCATCTTGTGTCACCGCCAAAAGCAAAACTTCTCCATACTTGCTCCTTAGGAATGTGCCATCAACGGCTATTACTTTTCTCATTTCTTGAAAACCAATTATCTAAGAAGCATATGATACAAAAAAAGAAGTATTGGAACCTACCATTTTCATCGAGAAACAATGATGTCTTGCTTCCTGGATTCGCAACTTCAAGCATATAGCGATACATATTAAGCATTGTGTACCCGTGATCATGTGTTCCCCTAATATTAGACTTAGCATGCTCCATGCCCTTATAAATCTTCAATAGCTTACCTTAAAAGCCAATTATATGCGGAGTTGATTTGACATGTCTCTTGTGGATGAGCCTTTACCATTGGGAAACCTATTTCAAAGTACTTGCCCATGACTTTTGTCGTGACATGGGGATTATGGCTTGTAAGATGCTCTAAACCACACGTATGGTACTTTTCATAGATTCTAATGGCAAACCTGTCACTACTTGTAAATTTCACAGACCTCAGCCACCAATTGCAATTCTGATATGAACATTTAAAGGGAAAACACATCACAAAAATTGATCACTTTTTTCAGTCTAAATTTTTTTCAAGCAAACAATTTTCAATGAATTTGTCAATTCTTGCTTGTTCTTGAATGACATTCCCTTATAAAAACCTGTTTCATCATCTCGAACATTATTCACACATGATGATTTGAGAAGCACATGGAATGTTGCTGTCAATCATAGGTGTATGAGGAACGTTGCTCTCAAGGTCCGGCCTTCACCTTCACCTTCACCTTCACCTACACCTACGTCTATTTCAATTTCATCATCGGGATTATTCATGTCTACAAAATCAAATTCATCATTTAACATATCTTGTTGGCCTTCGTCTACAATATGATCATCCTCGATAGGATTTTCTTCCATGTAGGCTCTTAATATGGCGGTTTCTCCACTCCTCCCAAATAAACAAGCAAACTAGGTTGATCAGTTATTCTAAAAGGTTAAACCTTCTC